GCGCAAGCGACTACTCCGCGGCCAGCGCTGGCCTCGCCGCCTACCAGCAGCTCAGGCTCGGGGGGACCCGAACGGGGATTGAAGCAGCTGGGACGAAGGCCGACTGCAGTTCTCGTCCCCTCTGGGCAGGTCTTTCTGCGCTGTGTCTTCGGGGGACCTCGCCTGCCCCCACAGTTGGTGCTCTTCTCCTCTTGTGCCCGACGCGGGCTCGATGTGGGCTGGAAGCGGATTTGGCGTGGATCCCACGCGGACTCGACGCGGAGCCGACGAGGCTGACATGGATTCGACACGGCTTCGACGCAGAATGGGCCGTGACGGTGCAGGCAAGAGGCCCCCCCCGAGGATGCAGCAGAGGGTCTCGTTGCCGGTGCCGCAGTGGAGACGCTGCCCATTCGGGGTGAGCGTCGCCCGCCCAGGCAGCGGCTGCTGTGGATTCGGGCCAAGGTTCCCCTGAGAACCCGACGTCCAGAACCAATTGCAACATCGTGAGATAATCAGCGGCACCGTAACGGGTCTTCACTGAGAGGTTTTTTGTTGGAAGTTCGCCGAACGTTGCCACGCCCGAAAAGGTGACGCTGCGGCAGCCTGCGATGACGGGGCTCCTTGAGGGGATCCAGGCCACGAGACTTCGGGTCCAGGCTGAGGACCTGGCATCGCTCGGACGTATGCTTTTTTTTCTCGGCGATGACCATCGAGGAGCATCCGTGATCATTTGGCGAAAAAACCACGCACGAAACCGGAAAAAACAGGGAATGGACGTCCGAGCGATGGCGAGAGGAGGAGGCAGCAGAGGCTGCCTCCTCTGCAGGCAGGCCGCACGAATTGGAGCCCCTCTGGTACTGCTGCGTGGCCTACATCTGGGAGGGTTGGGCTCCCTGGGCCACTGAGTGGAGTCCCCGTGCAAGGGGCGCCGAGAGGCCAGGGTGAAGTCGGGACTACAGGAGGAATATCCAAAAATAGTAAAAACATAGTCTGGGGGCGATTTTTTAAAAGTATGTTTGAGGATTTTAGTTGGGGTTGGGTATTTTCATTTTTCGCCCAAACTCGGCCTGTAGGGGGACAGGCCCCACCCAAGACCAGGGCCAGAGGGCCCCTGGGCCTCACCCGTCCGCGGCACTGCTCGAGCCGGACCGATCCGTGAGGGCCCTGCGTGTCGGGGCAACGTAAGGCTGAAGTGAGCCGGAGCGCGGGTCAGCCGACGCTTCTTGACGAGCGTGTCCTTCGATTGCGCGTACGTCTTGTCCCTCAACAGCTCTGGGAGTATACCTGTAGTCCGGGGAGGGTACCTGTAGTCCAGAGGAGGGGTACCTGTAGTCCGGTTGGAGGTACCAGTAGTCGGGGGCGGGGTACTTGCAGTTCGGGGGAACCTGTAGTCTGGGGGGGTACCTGCAGTCTGGGGTGGAACGCGTGTTCACTCGTCAACGCACGCGTGGATGTAATCCTGTTGGCGTACTTGTAATCAGGGGGGGTACCTGTAGTCCAGGGGGGATACCTGTAGACCAGGGGGGGTACCTGTAGTCCGGGGGAGGGTTACCTGTAGTTCGGGGAGGGGGTACCTGTAGCCCGGGGGGTGGTAGTCCGGGGACCCAGAACTATTGAGGGACACAGGGTAAGAGAGACCTTTCGCCGGAGTGACCTTTGGTGCGGGCTCATCTGGGTCCCCACTATCGCTGAGCGTGATGCGATAGAGGCTGCTTGTGCGCTTGGATTTGGCCACATTGCGCCCCCTTGGTCCGCGCACCAAAGGCCCCGTGTACCCAGGGTCACTCTTGCGTGTACTCGAGTCCTTGACTTTGACGGTTCAGTTTTCGTGGGATGTCTGCGGCGGTGTTTCGCGTCAAATTTCAGATTGGGCCTCGTCACTTCCATGATGGCCCTGCCAGGCCAACCCGAGTCCCCCGAGCCCGAGTCTTACTTTCGCCCCGGCCGGGGCCCGGGGAGAACGTCCGGCGTGAACAAAGTGGGGGCGCCCCGATCTCAGGGCTTGCCGTTTCTCGAAGCAGAGACAGGTGCATAGGCAACTCTCCGCGCGGAGTTTTTGGATCAGCGCTGGACCCCCTCCCTGGCGCACGGAGCGCACCAGGGGCGGCGCGGGAGGCTCCGCCAGGAGAGCCAGCGACGAGCCAAGAAATCCGCGCGCAGCGCCGGCAGTTCATGTGCATGCAGTGCTCTATTCCTCCAGTTTGGGCGCCACCCCCCCCGCTCCGTCCCTCTCCAGCTCTTAAGCTGCATCTTCGTGGAACCTCGCCTGTCCCCAAACTTGGTGTCTTATCTAGTGCCCGACGCGGGCTCGATGCGGGCTCGACGCGGACTTGGCGTAGATTCCACACGGATTCGACACGGAGCCGACGAGGCAGACATGGGTTCGAGACGGATTCGACGCGGATAGAGCCACGGCGGGACAGACAAAGGACTCCTGAGGATGCAACATAAGTTTAGCTTCGACTCCTCGATCCAGGGGAGGAGGGGGAGGAGGTGGAGGAGGAGGAAGGCGAGGAGGAAGAGGTGGAAGAGGAGGAAGAGGTGGAGGTGGTGGCGGAGTAGGAGGAGGAGGAGGAGGAGGAGGAGGAGGAGGAGGAGGAGGAGGAGGTCCCCCGAGGATGCAACACAACAGTTCGGGACGTGCCACGGAGGCGCGCCGACGCGCACTTCCCCTCGCCGCCGCCCGCCGCCCCGCGTGCGCACTGCGGCGGCAGCGCGGCGCTGCGCCAGGCCTCGCCGCCGCGCGGCCTCGTCGTCCTCGCCCTCGTCCTAAGGCGGGCGTGTCCCCCTACAGGAGGAACTTCCAAGAGTAATCCATAGTAAGGGGGCGATTTCTTAGCATTTGTCTCGTGTTAAGGAAAACGTCCCAGGAGGCGCCAGACCCTGGAGGATTCCTTATCCAATGAGGGCGGCGGTGGTATCCATAGCCGATCCACGCTTGGAGTTCCACTGGCTTCCAGACCCAGGATTCCTTATCTAAGGGTTCCTTATCCAATGCCCCCACTGTATTTGTTAGGGGATATGCCCGACTTCATCCTCGTCCTCGTCCAAAAGGAAGCAAAACATAGTCAGGGGACGATTTTTTAGGGGCACACGCCCGAACTAATCCTCGTCCTCGTCCTCGTCCGTCGCATCGGTTTGTTGTCGCTTGGACGTGCGCGTTTCTTCGGCGGCGAGCCCGGGCCTTCTCAGAGGGCTCGGAAGTCCTCTGGCCTTCCGGGAAGCTTTCTAAGCCCTCCCCGGAGACACAGAAAGCCCCTCAGAAGGCCGGAGCCTTTTCGAGAAGCCCCGCCGCCTTCTGAGAAGGCCTTCTCCTTCTCACCTTCCCCCCCTCGCTCGCCGCCGACGTTTCTCGGCCAGGGCCATCGACGAGCATCTTGGACCATCGCGCGAAAGGACAAACGCACGGACCAGACAAATGCACGGGACATGGACGTTCGAGCCATGGCAAGTCGTCCTTTTCGTCGTCGTCCTCCTCCCCCTCATCCCCCATTTCCACAGACTTTGTACGCTGAGTCCGACAGACTGTGCTTGGCCGTAACTCCCCTTCTGAGCTGACCCGTGCGAGGAGATTTGCAGGGAGGGTCATCGACCTGGTCCAGGGCTTTGTGGGCCCCGGAAACGGCAGGGCCGTTTTTCACCGTTTCCAGAAAAAATGTCCCTTGAAAATGGAAACGGCAAAAAGACGGCGACCGGAAACGGCAAAAAAACGGCTCCAGGATTGTAACCGGAGCCGGAACCGGTCAAAAAACGGCGGCGGAACCGGTAAAAAAACGGCGTCGGAACCGGCGAAACAACGGCAAAACGGAACCGGTAAAAAAACGGCTCTGTCGTTTCCAGGGCCCACTAAGGTCCAGGGGCACGCGGTCGGATGATGTCGAGATGGATGCCCTCCATCTCATGTCCCCGAGCTGGGCCGCCAAGGCTTTACCCAGCCGACAGGCCCACAAGGTCGGGGATTCGGGTCGCCATTCGTTTCCTTACAGTGGAGGCCCATGCCAAGAAACACCCTGCTTGCCTCCAGGGTGCCCTGGATTTCTTGTGGGTTTCGATTGTTCTGCTGTGGAAATCGTGACGCTCCCGCACCAGAAATCAACGGATCTCCTGGGGTCTCATGGTCGGGTTTCTTGTAGAAGTCTTCTTCTGGCCCGGCCTCCACTGCATTCGATCGGGCGGGTTAGGCCCGACCCGCCGATCGGCTGCAGACCAGCAAACCAGCCGATCCGCCTCTAAGACGTGCCGTCAGAAACATGACTTTCAGGAGGGGAAAAAACACACAGACACAATTAATCGCCGATTCCTAGGAAAATATGGAAAATATGGGAAGTGGGGGGGAAGACAAAACCCTAGAGGATATATAGGAAAATATGGGGAATCCTTTTGTTTGTGTGTATCTATTTGTGCGTCTCAGGGCCCCCTCAGCCTGGAGACGAGAAGCCGATCTCGGGGGTCGCCGCAGGTGCCCCAAGTTGCCCAAGTTGCCCTGGGGCGTTCGCCCCACGCTGCGGCCGCGGGGGGGGGCCTCTGGGCCTCGTGCTGGGGCGCTCCCCGGAGGCCGCGGAGGCCTCCGCGAAGACCCCGGGGGGACGCCCTCGGGCCATGGGGCACCTCTTGGCAGCACCCGACGATAGCCCGTGAGAGACCCCAGTGCCCAGGACCCGGCTGCCGCTGATCCCTCGCTCCCTCGTCGCGCGCTTTACGGGGTGGCTAGCATCCCGGCAGGGAGGGGCCCTCTCCCTCCTCTGGTTTGCAAGCATGGAGCAGATTTCAGTCTTCGGGACTGTAGCGTCCTCCTCCCCCTCCTCCTCCTCCTCCTCCTCCTCCTTCTCCCCCTTCTCCGACTCATCCTCCTACTCCTCCCCCTTGTCCTCCTCGTCCTCCGTTCCATTTTCTTATAACAGAGTTCTCCCTGTCGTACGCCAAGGCCAGTCGAAAGGGAGGGCCGGGCGTTTCGCCTGAGACATCGTCACCGTTCATGACCTTGCAGCTTAAGCATTGGCAGCAGCTTCACAGATGGAGGGCGGGTCGTTTACCAAATGTGGCTCTCGCCATAGCGCCGCGCACAGTCGTCGCAAACACTTGCAAGAGCTCCACGGATTGAGGGAGGGTGGTTTTCAAAACGTAGTCATCGCGTTAGCGCCGCGCGCATTCGTTTTTTTGTTTTAACACTTGTAAGAGTTTCGCGGAGTGAGGGCGGTCCGCTTTCAACGTGTGATTCTCGCCTGAGCACCCCGCGCTCTCGTCTTGCAAACCTTCCACGGGTGGAGGGCGGCTCGTTTTCAAACGGTGGCTCTCGCCGTGGCGCCGCGCATATCCCGTCTTAATACGTGTAAGGGTTTCGCGGCGTCTTTTAACCAACGTATCGGAAACGGTTTTTCGGACAGATTCAGGATTATGAGGGTGCAACAGTTTCGTTGATCCGCGGTGTTGAAGTCCCAGGGCCCATCGCGGGGCGCCCAACGGCTGCGTTTTGGTGCCCAGCGTGGCTTGGGTCGTGGCCGCTACGACACCTCACTGGGGGTACGTCGTTCTGGGGGTAATTACGTTTGGCCCTTCTCAAAGATTGCCCCCCGACTTTAAGACGCGTTTTGGGAAGGTTCTGTGGCCCGTTGAGTAGAAGGCCAACGCAGGCATTCCTTCCAGCCGCGCCCCCTACAAACGGCATTCACATGCTTGGATGGGTTTGGGGAACCATGCTGTTTCATTTTTGGCGAATCTTGCATTCTCGCTTGATTTGCACTTTTGGCTGGATTTTTGCATGTAAAAGAGTAGCGACCAAGCGCACACGCCAACCTACCCGAATGATTGGCATGGCCTCATCCCGATGTCGATCCTAAGGATTCCCTCAGTTTCCGAGGGCGCATCCCTGAGGTCGTCACCGCCTTTGGGCTTGTCAATCTTAGGGATGGGAACAAGCCCGAGGCTGGCCACATCGCTCGCACGCGTGCATTCCGTCTCGGCAAGGACCATCGAGGAGCACCTCGGATCAGACTGCGGAAGAGCACGCGAAGCCGATGAATGCACGGGGAAAGGTCCTCCGAGCGACGGCAAGGGTTGGGAAGGGCGGAGCTTCGAGATCTGCTGCGTGCAGTCAGCTTCGGCCCCGCCGCTGGGCGCGCTCCTCGATGCCCTGGGCGCCTCCATTGCCGGGCACCTCGGCTGCGCGAGCGCATTGGCTAATGGCCTCCCCCCTTTACAACCCCCTCCTCCTCTCGTCATCATACCTACCGGTGTGATCTCGCACTGCTTTATTTCGACCGACCGTGTGCCCATAATGCGGTCGTGCTGGTGTTTGTGCTGGCGGCCGTGCTGGTGGTCGTGGTTGGTGGACGTGCTGGTGGTCGTGCTGGTGGTCGTGCTGCTTGTCGTTCTGGTGGAGGTGCTGGCAGTCGTGCTGGTGGTCGTGCTGGTACTTGTGCTGGTGGTCGTGCTGGGAAGTGCTGGTGGTCGAGCTGGTGGTCGTGCTGCTGGCTGGTCGTGCTGGTGGTCGTGCTGGTGGTCGTGCTGGGCTGGTGGTCGTGCTGGTGGTCGTGCTGGCGGTTGTGCTGGTGGTCGTGCTGGTGGCTGGTCGCGTTGGTGGTCGTGCTGGTGATCGTGCTGGCGGTCGTGTTGGTGGCCGTTCTGGTGGAGGTGCTGGTGATCGTGCTGGTGGTCGTGCTCGTGGTCGTGCTGGTGGTTGTGCTGGTGGTCGTGCTGGTGGCTGGCCGTGCTGGAGGTGCTGGTGGTCGTGCTGGTGGTCGTGCTTGGTCGTGCTGGTGGCTGGCCGTGCTGGAGGTGCTGGTGGCTGGTCGTGCTGGTGGTCGTGCTGGTGGTCGTGCTGGTGGTCGTGCTGGTGCTTGTGCTGGTGGTCGTGCTGGCGGTCGTGTTGGTGGCCGTTCTGGTGGAGGTGCTGGTGGTTGTGCTGGTGATCGTGCTGGTGGTCGTGCTGGTGGTTGTGCTGGTGGTCGTGCTGGTGGCTGGGCGTGCCGGTGCTTGTGCTGGTGGTCGTGCTGGCGGTCGTGTTGGTGGCCGTTCTGGTGGAGGTGCTGGTGGTCGTGCTGGTGGTCGTGCTGGTGGTTCTGCTGGTGGTCGTGCTGGTGGCTGGCCGTGCTGGAGGTGCTGGTGGTCGTGTTGGTGGTCGTGCTGGTGGTCGTGCTCGCGGTCGTGTTGCTGGCCGTTCTGGTGGAGGTGCTGGTGGTCGTGCTGGTGGTCGTGCTGGCCCCTCCCCCTCCCCCCCTGCGCCCCCCCTTCCCCTTATTCCGACCGACCGTGGGCCACCCCCCCCGCTTCTCCTCCCTGCGCCCCCCTCCCCTTATTCCGACCGACCGTGGGCCACCCCCTCCGCTCCCCCCTTGCGCCCCCCTCCGCTTATTCCGACCGACCGTGGGCCCCCCCCCGCTCCCCCCTTGCGCCCCCGTCCCCTTCTTCCGCCCGACCGTGGGCCACTCCCCCCGCTCCTCTTCTGCGCCCCTCTCCCCTTATTCTGACCGACCGTGGCCCCCCCACCGCTCCCCCCCTGCGCCCCCGTCCCCTTATTCCGACCGACCGTGGGCCACCCCCCCCGCTCCTCCCCTGCGCCCCCCTCCCCTTGTTCCGACCGACCGTGGGCCCCCCCGCTCCTCCCCTTGCGCCCCCCTCCCTTATTCTGGGCCCCCCCCCCGCTCCTCTCCTTGCGGCCACCCGACCGTGGGCCACCCCCCCCGCCCCCCCCCTGCGCCCCCCTCCTCTTATTCCGACCGACCGTGGGCCACCCCTCCGTTCCCCCCCCTTCCCATTATTCCGACCGACCGTGGGCCACCCCCCCCGTCCCCCCTGCGCCCCCCTCCCCTTATTCCGACCGACCGTGGGCCACCCCCTCCGCTCCCCCCTTGCGCCCCCCTCCGCTTATTCCGACCGACCGTGGGCCCCCCCCGCTCCCCCCTTGCGCCCCCGTCCCCTTATTCCGACCGACCGTGGGCCACTCCCCCCGCTCCTCTTCTGCGCCCCTCTCCCCTTATTCTGACCGACCGTGGCCCCCCCACCGCTCCCCCCCTGCGCCCCCGTCCCCTTATTCCGACCGACCGTGGCCACCCCTCCCCCGCTCCTCCCCTGCGCCCCCCCTCCCCTTGTTCCGACCGACCGTGGGCCCCCCCCTTCGCCTCACTGCGTCCCCCTCCCCTTATTCCGACCGACCGTGGGCCCCCCCCCCGCTCCTCCCTTGCGCCCCCGTCCCCTTATTCCGACCGACCGTGGGCCACCCCCCCCGCTCCTCCCCTGCGCCCCCCTCCTCTTATTCCGACCGACCGTGGGCCACCCCCCCGTTCCCCATTGCGCCCCCCCTCGATTCCGACCGACCGTGGGCCCCCCGCTCCCCCCCTGCGCCCCCTCCCTTATTCCGACCGACCATGGGCCCACCCCCGCTACCTCCCCCCTGCGCCCCCCTATTCCGACGACCGTGCCCCCCCCCCTCCGCTCCCCCCCTGCGCCCCCCTCCCCTTAGTCCAACCGTGCCCCCCCCCCCCCCTTCCCCCTGCGCCCCCCTCTCCATATTCCGACGACCGTGGCCCCTCCTCCGCTTCCCCCCTTGCGCCCCCCTCCCCTTATTCCGACCGACCGTGGGCCCTCCCTCCCCGCTCCCAAAGGCGCAAATGACCAAATCCTTCCCAAACCCAAAGAAAATCAATGATTTTGGCCTCTTCGGGCCCTCCTAGACGACCTCTTGAAGGCCTCTTGGGCTGTCTTGGAGGCCTCTTTGGAGCCTCTTGGACCGTCTTGGGCCTCTGGGACCCTTCCGAGGCGACCCCGGCGGACAGGCCAGGCGGCCGGGAAGCTCGCCGCCGCCCGCCGCTCGGTGAGCGAGCCTCGGGCCCGAGGCGAGGATGAGTTGCCTGGGCCAGCCTCGGGTCGGAGGCGAGGACGGTGAGGCGGAGGAGGAAGCGGAGGGGGAGGGGGGGGAGGCGGAGGTGGAGGGGGAGGAGGAGGACGAGAAGGAGGAGGACGAGGACGCAGCGCGCCCGGCCGCATGCCGACGGCGAGGGCGACTCCGCCGCCACGCGCCGCACCGCCCCAGAAGGTGGAGAGAGGGGGAGGACAAGGAGGAGGTCGAGAACCAGGAGGAGGAAGAGAGGCGGGACAAGAGAAAGTGGAGGTGAGGAGGGGGAGAAGGAGGACGAGACAGAGGACAAGCGACCTTCCTCCATACCCAAACTGACATGCTTCTAGCCGCCCCTTCCCGTCTTCGAATCTGTCCCTTGCCAGCGTGTCGCAGCAATTGCGGCGCGCTTCCCGGCGCCTGCCAAGGACTGCCTCCCTCGCGATCCCTGGTTTTCTCCATCTCCCATGGACCCACATCGTCATTGTATGATCCTTGGCACGCGTGCCCCTTGTTGGACCCGACCCTGTTGTCCGCCGACCTCCGGCGGGCCTCCCGCCACGGGCGCTCTCTCCTGTGGTGGCTGCCCGTTTCTGCGCACGCTCTGCTCCGGCGGGGCTACCTGCAGGGCAGGGTCTCAAGGCCTTCCGGAGCGCTCCGAGAAGGCCACGGCGCCCGATGCATCCCCGAGGACCGCTGGATCTCAGAGGTTCGCGACGTATCCCGATCCGATGTTGCCACGATCCTGGCTTCGCCTCCTCTTTTGGTGCCTCTGCGCAGGCCTGGGCCTTTAAGTGTAGGCACGTCTGTGGCAGGCTTGGGGCGTCGGGGCATTTCCAGGCCTGCTCTGTCCACGTCGTGGGTCACCAGTGGAGGAGGAGGAGGAGGAGGAGGAGGAGGAGGAACCGTTCGGAATTTTGGCTGCGCGTGTCGCTCTCGCCTTGCTTCAGAGGAGCATCCCGCCCCGCGGAGTGGAGCGACACGCCATCCGACTGCAAGGCATAGCGTGTCGCTGGGGCCGCCGCCGTCGTCGTCGTCGTCCGTTGTCTCTCCGCTCGGTTCGTCTGCCGCTCACGTTTTCACCGTCGCCGTTCGTCGGCGCCGGCCCGTCGCCTGCTCCCCGTGCTCTCTCACCCGGACCTCGTGCCCTTCCGTGGCGCGCGCGAGGCCAACCCAGGGTCCCCCCAAAAAAATTGGGCTCTCGCCGGGGTGCAGGGGGCGCGGGACAGTTCCGGTACGCGGGCGCAGACGTTCGTACCGCACTTTGCAGAGGAGCCCGATCAGCAGCAGGCGCATCGAGGAGGGTTCACGCGTCCTGTGGGGGGGGCGCTCCATGCTGGCTCCCCGGGGCAGCTCGGCCCTCCCGCCCCCCGGGCCCACGATGTTCTGACGCGGTGCCCCAGGGGCTTTGCAGGCTGCGGCACAAGAGGAGCCGTGCACACGTGTGTTGGCAGGTGCCGCAGTGTTGGTAAACTTAAGTCGGGCATGTCCCTCTACAGGAGGAGCATCCAAACATAGTATATATATATATATATATATATATATATATATATATATATATATATATATATTATATATAATATATATATATATATATTTCTAGTTTGGGTAAGATGTTCGACAATTTTTGAATATAGTTCGGTTCTTGTCTGGCAGAGTTCCATCTTTCGCCAAAATTCCGCCTGTAGGGGGGCATGCCCGACCTAATGATAAACAGGTATGCCACTTGCTTGACGCTGCGAGCCGATCGCACAAACTGGTGTGCCGATCACGATTTGGCTAAAATTCTGAGGCAGCAGCCTGCGCGGCAGCCGACGGCATACAGGCGCACCTCCAGGCGCTCCACGAGATGGTGCGCGGACCTGCCTCAGCCCAGGAGATCGGGAGGCTGAGGGAGGGAGGAGGCGACGCTGTGCCCGCCGAGCTGGTCATCGACGGCACAGTCTGTCTTGTCGGCCCTGGCCATGGATCTTGTGCGGCCACCACTGGAGAACAGCACGGCTGGCCATCTCTGGTGGCTGTCAGACCAGCTCCGCACCAAGCATATCGACGACGCACTTTCGTGTGACACGCGAGACATGAGGGCCGACCCGATGGCGAAAGGGAACATCGGCCAGAAATTGACTCTCGACATCATGGACGGGAAGCTCAGCTACGACCGCGACGCCGTCAGGCTGAGCGATGAGCGACGCAAGACAACTGCGCCGACTTCCCGCCACAGCAGTCTCACCCACCAGGGCAGGGACGAGCAGAATGACGAAGGTACTGGGTCGCCGAACGCCACGGGCAAAGGCGACTTGGGTTAGCACTGATTATGCCAGCGCGACTCACGGCCCCAACGATGGCGAAGAACGAGGCAGACGCTCGCTTTTCGCGAACTACCCTCGCGAATGCGACGCAACGAGCATGCACATGAGAGGCTTGCTCCCGTGAGTTGCGTTCGTGGAGCAGCAGGCGATTAAAAGTAGAGCTGGCAAGTAAATGAGGCCATGCTCCATGTTATGTCAGCCGCGTACAATTTGTTATGAGGGGCGTGGTCAGTTGAACGTCCTCTCGTGATAGTTTGCTATTGCTCCGTTAGTTCGCGCACGTTTTGCGTGCACGGGCCGACGAGGCACAACAGACCCGCTTGAGCACCAGACTCGAACGATAGCCTTGTATATCCTGGCTGTCTTTTGCCGCCGCTTGGAGCTCACAGTAGCTCCTTTTTCCGTGCCTACTCCACTCGCGCTTTACACTTTTCCTACGTTTTGTGAGTGCCGAGTTCGTTTGCCCATCCTGATCTTTTACTCTTGGTCTCCTCCTCCTCCCCCTCCTCCTCCTCCTCCTCCTCTTCCTCCTTCTCATGGCGCTCGTCCTCGTCGGTCCCACCTCGCAGACGATTCCTTGTAGAGGGCGGCAACTTCATGACCAGCACGAATAGTTCAGAAAACGAACCCGAGGCAGGAATCGACCCAGACAGGCGCACACAGCAGCTGAGTTAGCGCAGGGCCCTGGGGTCGAGATGCTTTTCCTTCGTTGACTTTGGGCAACTGCAACCAGCTCCCCCCCAACACAGCGCTGCTCGTCGCGCAAGGCTGGGGCCTCTGCGCCAGCGTCCTGGATGCCCCGCTCCCCGGAGCTGGGCCGCTCATTCAGCAACCCCGCGATGATGCTGGCGCGGGCCCTAGCCACGGCCTGGAGGTTTTTCGAGGTTCGAGGGCCGAGGTTTCTGGCAAGTTCTCCTCCTTTTTGGGCCTCGGCGAGGCTTCTCGTCGCCACGGCCGGCCGAGGTGGGTGGGATTCTTTTGGGGTTGGGACACGTCTTTGCGACCCGAACAGGTTAGCGCCGAAGTCCAATCGGCTTCCGGAAGCCGTTCCCGGGCACCACGACCGTCAACAAACGAATCAGGATGCAAAGTCGGTGCTGGGGGCGGGGTCGCAAGCTCTGGTGGCCGTCGGCTTGAAATGATTGACTCGTCGGAGGGTTGGGGAAGAGGGCGCGATCCATCAGGTGAAGGCCAGCATAAACATGACAGTTCACCAGGTTCAGGAATCAGATCTCATGCATCATGCGGAGACCCGAAGCAGCCAGTGACCTAGTGGCCTTCGACCCATCCCGCCACTTTGCCTGGGTTGTGGGTCAGAGGCCTCGTTGGGCTTCTTGGGGGCGCTTCGGGGGATCTTATCTATGGGTGGAGGATTCTAGATGTCTGTTCGTATTCCCTATCTTGGGGCCGTCTCGGTGGGCTCTTGGGACCAGATCGGCGGCACTTGGGCCGTCTCGGGCATCTTGGGCGTCTAGGTGGCCGAGACGGGGATCATGCGAAGTGCGTTTGCGCAGGCACCCTAACACGCAAACGCTTCATGATGAGGCACATGGCCAATACGTCACGACCAGGCATTCCCTCTGCATTCCGACTCCCGGGCGCCGTACCGCACGGAACGACACGTCAACTCGCATGCTGGAAGACCAGGCGTGGCCACGGCACGACAAAAATATTGTGCGCTCGCGGCAGAAAGCCACTGCGCGCGGGCACGGCACGGCACGGCACCCGCTGTCTTCCCGTACCCCGGAAGCCCACATCGGCACGGCAACGGCATGCCAAGCTCAGTATCGGTTCTCCGATCTTGAGCCCCAGTGGTCCGCGGGATCGCAGCCCCGCCGGCGTACCACCCCGGTTGGGGATGGCCCCCTCGAAGCACGAAGGGAGCAGCCTGTAGATCCCCCGTCCAGGGGGGATGCCTCGGCCGGTGGGGCCCCAGGCCACGCCGGTGGGGACAGGGGATTGGTTATAAACGTGGCTCACAGGTGTCTCGCTCTCTCGAGGCCCAGCGCGGCGTGCGGGCATGGCGTGCAGCGTGCGGGCACGGTGCGGCACGCGGGCACGCCCACGCCGCGGCCACCGTGTCGCATGATGTCTCGCAGCCGGGCGCGCGGCACGGCACGCGGGCCCGGCTCGGACCCCTGCGAGGAGCCTGGAGCACGGTTCGGCACGCGGGCGCGGCACGGCGCGGCGCGGCAGCGGTCTCGTGCGCCCAGAAGTTGTCAGTGTCCGCGCATCCCCACCAGCCCACTCCAAGACCTTGGCCACGAGAGTTGGCGCGACGAGGCACGAGGAGACACGCGTAGTGAAGCACAGCGGGCAAATAGGGTGAAGAGTGAGGTCTCTGGGAGCAAGTGGGTGGGCTTGGAGTGCCTCCTCGGGCCATCTCTGGGGCCCGCGTGGGGGCGAGGGAAGGAGAAAGAGGAGGAAGACGACGACGACGACGACGACCACGACGACGAGGAAGACTGTGAACATGAAAAGGAAGACGATGAGGGCGAGAGGGAGGACGAGGACGAGGACGAGGACGAGGACGAGGAGGATGATGAGGACGAGGACAAGGACGAGAACAGAGTCGTCAACATCGCCTCTTGGAGCCCTCTTTGAGCTCTTTTTGGGTATCGTGTGGTCCTCGTGGAGCTTTTTCGGGGTGTCTTTGGGCCCTCTTGGAGCCCTCTTGGAGGTCCCCTGGGAGCCCTGGAGGGGCCTCTTGGGGCCATGTTGTAGGCCATCGACCAAACGGGGTTTCTCCGATTTGCCTCGCCACTTTGGGACCATCAACATCGCCGCTTGGGGCCCTCCTGGGTCGCTCTTTATGTGTTTTTGGGCGCTCTTAGGACCGTCTGGGGGCCTATTGGGACCCACTTGGGGCTCTCTTGGGCCAAATAGGGGCCATCTCACGGCTTCAAAAGCGCATCGCAAGCGAAAAGGCGAGCAGGCACAAATCATGCCTTTAGGCTTTTAACGGATGTAGTCCTCTTCGGGGGGTCTCCAGGGGGTTCAGAAAGTATTTGGAACCGTCTTGTGGCCCTCGTCGGGCTTCTTGGAGGTAAATCGGAAGCTATCTTTGGGGAAGGCATGCGGGCTGCGCCACTGGGACCTTCTGAGGAGATCACTGTGGGGCAGCGCAGCGTGCAACGGGTGTGCCGACATGAGTGGGGCGGACGCATGCCGGCTCCTTCGGTGGAGCTCCCCCTGGAGCCACGAAACGTGTCAGGGGTTTGCAGACATGGGTGTGGGACCGCATGCGGGCTGCGCCACTTGGATCGTCGGTGGAGCTCCCCATGGGCCCATGGGGTCACGAAACATGTGAGGGGTGTGCCGACATGGATGGCGGGGGCGCATGCGGGTTGCGCAACTGGGGCCTTCGATGGAACTCTCCACGGGGCCGCGAAGCGTGTGAGGGGTGTGCCGACGTGGGGCCACGAAGCGTGTGGTTGTGATGTGTGTGGCGGGAACGCATGCGGGCGGCACTGTTTGGGCCTTGAGTGGAGCTCCTGATGGGGCCGCGAAGCGTGTGAGAGGTGTGCCGACATGGGTGGCGGAGACGCATGCGGACGGCACCACGTGGGGCCTTGGGCGGAGCTCCCTATGGGTCCACGAAACGTGTGAGGGGTGTGCCGAAATGGGTGGCGGGGACGCATGCGGGCGGCACCATTAGGGCCTCGGGTGGAGCTCCACATGATGCCACATGATCCCACGTAACGTTTGAGGTGTGTGCCGAAGTGTGTGGCGGGGACACATGCAGGCGGCACCATTGGGTCTTGGGTGGAGCTCCCTATGTGTCCACGAAACGTGTGAGGGGTGTGCCGAAATGGGTGGCGGGGACGCATGCGGGCGGCACCATTAGGGCCTCGGGTGGAGCTCCACATGATGCCACATGATCCCACGTAACGTTTGAGGTGTGTGCCGAAGTGTGTGGCGGGGACACATGCAGGCGGCACCATTGGGTCTTGGGTGGAGCTCCCTATGTGTCCACGAAACGTGTGAGGGGTGTGCCGAAATGGGTGGCGGGGACGCATGCGGGCGGCACCATTAGGGCCTCGGGTGGAGCTCCACATGATGCCACATGATGCCACGAAACGTTTGAGGTGTGTGCCGAAGTGTGTGGCGGGGACGCATGCAGGCGGCACCATTGGGCCTTGGGTGGAGCTCCCTATGGGGCCGCGAAGCGTGTGAGGGGTGTGCCGACATGGGTTGCGGGGACGAGAGCATATCGGGCACCACCTCTGGGCTGACGATCTTGGTTTCCTTGGGCAGCAGTGCTCTCATGAGTTCTTTGCCCACTGCGATCGAGCGGGGCCCGCTCCCCGGATCCCAATGCGCTGTTGTTGTCCCAAATGGGGTTGCGATTCTGTGCCGATGGGCGGTTGGTATGGATGGCGGCATCATTGTTGCCTGCATCTGTTGCAGGCGTTTGCTTGCTTAACTGTGTACCTGATGTGTTGCCTGCGTGACTGTTTGCATGCTTGCGTGCTCCCTTGGCCGCCGCGTACATTATTGTTTGGTGTTGCAAGTGCTTGCTGCACGCGTGCTTACATGGTCCGTACGCATGCACGCAGGCATGTATGTTCGCATCTGGTGGCTTTGCTTGCACACGTGGCAGGGCAGAGTAAGGTGTGGCACGCTAGAGCAGGCCAGGGCAGAGGCAGGACAGCGACAGCGCAAAGCCGGGGGGAAGACACTGTCGGACGCAGCGCCAGGCAAGGCAACGGCATGACAGAGGTACCTGTGGCAGAAGGCTGGGCACGGCCCATGGCAGAGCCGGGCCTGGGGCCGCGCAGCGCCGTGCAGAGCGGAGCGGGGGCGTGGCAGCAGAGGGCCCTGGGCAGAACCGGCCAGGGCACGCGGTCGCGCCTCGAGAAGGGGATCGGCTGCAGAATTGATTTGCCCCCACATCCCTGTTCCGGCTGGATCTGCGAAGCAGTGCGCACCCTGCCCCGCAGATCTACGAGCACCCCGCGCGTGTCCTGTACACTCGGCGGGGAGATCGAGCCTGGTCGATTCTGTAGTCGAGCCCCTCTTTCTTCGAACTCCCGCCGCCCCGCCGCGCGGAGCGGTCGCGCAGCTCCCGCCGCCCCGCCGAGAAGCGAGGAGTCGAGGAGCGAGGAGCCGAGGAGCGAGGGCTGTCGAGCCGACGCCCCCGACCGCTGGGAGGAGGAAGGAGGAGGAGGAGGAGGAGGAGGAGGAGGAGGAGGAGGAGGAGGAGGAGGAGGGGGAGGAGGAGGAGGAGGGGAGAGGAGGAGGAGGGGGAGGCGGAGGAGGGAGGGAGGAGGAGGAGGAGGGAGGAGGAGGAGGAGGAGGAGGAGGAGGAGGAGAGCGGCCTCCCCCCCGCGCCCGCCGCGAGGCGCAGAGCCGGAGCTCCGACGGTGCCTGGGCGCGCGCCGCCGCGCGCGCTGCGTCTCCGGCGGCGGCGGCGCTGTCGGGCTGGCCGGGCCGCGGCACCGCGCACGCGCCGGTCGCAGTCCCTGTCTCGTCTTCCTCCTCCTCCTGCTCCTCCTCCTTCTCCGCCTCCTCCGCCCCCTCCTCCGCCTCCCTCCTCCCCGCCTCCTCCGCCTCCTCCGCCTCCTCCGCCTCCTCCTCCTCCTCCTCCTCCTCCCCTCTCCTCCTCCCGCCTCCTCCTCCTCCTCTCTCCTCCTCCTCCTCCCTCCTCCTCCTCCTCTCCTCCCTCCTCCTCTCCTCCTCCTCCCCGCCTCCTCCTCCTCCTCCTCCTTCTCCTCCCTCCTCCCTCCTCCTCCTCCTCCTCCTGCTCCTACCCCTCGGCGTCGTGAGTGCCTGTCCCGCGCGCTGGGTGAGGAAGGCAACGGCTTTCAATTGCAGCCGCGTTCTCTGTGGCCTGCCTACCTGGTTTCGTCGATCCCTGTTTCAACTGAGCTTCAGGTGCGTGGCGGCATTCGCACTTCGACGATGCTGGCTGTTGAAGCATGCGGTCCGCTCCGAACTCTTCCCTCGTCAAATCTAGGCCTCCTGGATGGGGCCCGAGTAGATGGGGTCGAAGGATCGCTCCGTATCGCCGATGCCGATGCGGCTCGACACGGAGCCCGAGTTTCCCCACGCCGACGTCGCCGATGCATCGCTGACGTCGCCGAGGCATCGTCGATGCATCGCCGATGCTTCGGCGATCCATCGGCGATCCAGTGCAATCCTCCGACCGCATCTACTCGGACCCCATCGAGGAGGCCTCTCTAGCAAAAGAAATCTGACACAAGACACGAAAGCGGCGTTGGCACGAAGAGATGGGGGGGTAGCAGAGCTTGTGCGCACCTTCCAGGCTGCAAGGCCTGGCCCCTCGCCGAGCCCTGTGCACTTCGAGAGCAGAGCCTGCTGCTTTGGACGGCTGGGCCTCTGCATACATCGGGGGTCCGTGTGCATTATTGGGTCGGCGCTGGACCCCCTCCCTCAGAGGAGGAAAGGGTACCCATACCGCTACCCCTCCCCTCGTTTTCCTCTTTTTCGGCCTCCTGGGAGGGCTGGATTCGCTTCGAAATCCTCGTCAGAACGCATCCCGGGAGAGATCCGTGGAGTGGCGGCATCAGTACTTTATGGTTTCCCCACTCCCTGCCCCCGGGCGGCGTCTCCGTGAAAGCGGCCCGGCGCTAGCCCAAGAAATTCGCGTGGACCTCCTCATTTTCACATGGCTATGTTATTGTTCTCTAGGTCCACGTCGCCTGCTGCGGTCATTGAAGGATTCTGAGGGATGCGGCATCCCGTGATACCCCGTGCAGGTCGTCCTGATCATGCAGGTTGGCTTTGTTACGGTCACCGCCAAGCGGGCTCCGAGAGTTCGGGGTCGTCTTTTGAGCATGGAGTTGGCGAGCCTCCCCGTTCAGGAACACACTGCTTCGAACAAGTGTCGCTCCCTCCGGCGCGTACGCCGCATCGCGGAACCGTGAAACACTCCTGTTCCAAGCAAGTGTAGTTAGCGTGCACGTCGCGTGAGCGACGCAGAAAGCCAGGGTCGTTTTCACCGCGTAAGGTCGCGCGTGAGCGCCCTCGTTTCCGAAACGGCTTGCCAGGCTGGCGTTCCGCGTAAGCCACCGCGTAAGGCGGCCAGGTCATCCCGCGTAAGACCCGTTTCTGATTCGCTCACGTGAATTATGGGCTCTACAGTCGCTTGGTGCGCAGCCTGCTCATTCGAGCAGGGGATCGACTACAGAATTGATTTACCCCAAAACTGGATGTCTCGTCGAATCTATGAGAACAGCGTAGAATGCTTGTAGATCTTCGGACCAGTCTTCGCACCTTTCGTAGACTCGACTGAAAATCAATGTTGGGGGAAATCGATTTTGTAGTCGATCCCCTACTCGGCGCAACGTCTCGTTGTGAATGTGCATGACTGTCTCGTTCATGGGCAGCGCTGGCTTGTTTTCCAACAGCCTCCTCCTCCTCCTCCTCCTCCTCCTCCTCCTCCTCCCGCGCTCTTCCGAACAGCTCTGGCCGAGGCCGCGACGCCCACAGCCGGGGTCCCGACCTGGCCCCAGAGCCTTGATCGTTCATCCCCAGGCCCGTCGAGCTGGAAGTCGATGGCAGACTCCCTTTGCCCCAGCATTGACATTCGCGTAGAAGCTACGAAACATACATAATCATGCTCGTAGATCTGCGAACGCTCCGCGCAAGGTTTCTCCGTAGAGTCGACGGAAGAGCATGGGGGGAGTCAATTCTGCAGTCGACCTCCTACCTGAACCCTCCCCTTCTCTCTCCCAGTTCTCCCAGTCCTCCCTCCTCCTCCTCCTCCGCCTCCTCCTCTTTTTCCTCCTCCTGCTCCTCCTTCTCCTGCTTCTCCTCCTCTTCCTCCTTCTCCTTCTCCTCGTCCTCCTGCTCCTGCTCCTCCTCCTCCTCCTCCTCCTCCTCCTCCTCCTCCTCCTCCTCCTCCTCCTCCTCCTCCTCCTCCCCCTCCCCCTCGAGGAACAGACACCGGAACAGAAGCCAGAAAAAACGCCTCTCGGACCTCCGCGCGGACTCCTCGCACGGGCGCGATGCAGGCCCCCGTTCGCCGGCACCTCCCTTTGGCGCGCTTTCCGCGCGCCAGCGGTGGGGGTCCCGCGCCCCTGCGAAGAGTCCGCGGCCCTCCGAGTGTTTGAGTCTATTCAGGAGGGAAAGAAACACACAGACACAATTAATCGTCGATTTCCCAGAAAATATGGGAAAATATGGGAAGTGGGGGGGAAGACAGAAACCCAGAAAATATGGAAAAATATAGGGGATATTCTTATTTGTGTGTATTTATTTGTGTGTCCTGGGGCCCCTTCATCTATGTCGTCGGTTGTGCTTCGAGTCTCCTCCTCCGCAGGGCGTCGTAGCTGTGGTCTCCCGATGACGGAGAATAGGTATAGGTTCACCAGTTCGGGGACAACGAGCAGATCAGAAGCGGCGAAGCCAGTCACAGCACACATCAAGAACACGCGCATCAAACAGCGCAGCAGGAAGCGAAACAAAAGTGTTCACGCATACTTCCCCTATGGAACTCTAACGGAGCCTGCGCAGGCGCCATGTTGGCCGCCTGGAGGCGGAGCGAATTTCACAGAGGGCGACGTTGTAATGTCGCGTGCTAGGAGAGGGGGCCCTAGAAAACATCAAAAGACCTCCCAGACAACAGACTGGGCATTCTGGCAAGTGTCCGCTCCGTGCGGGCACGGTGGCGGTCCGCGCATGAGCGTGCCCCCGCGCTCCGTCCTCTTCTCTGCGGCCGCCTCCTTCCTGCCCTCCCTCTTGCCTGCGGGCTGATTCGCGGTGCCGTGTTCCGGCCTCGCCCCGCGCTGCGACACAGAGCGGAAACGGTGGCGGAGGGGGCGCCGCGGGGGACGGCCAACAGCTTCCGTGAGATGCTCTCCCGGGGAGCACTCCCTGAGTTCGAGCCCGGAGCTCCGCCCGGGCGGCCCCAGGGGCCCCCGACTTGGGCCTCGCGTGGTGGGGGTGCGATAGATGGAGAGGGGGGGGCAGCGAGCGTTGCAGAGAGGGGGCCCTCTAGGGCCCCCTGTAAAGAGGCTCTCTAGGGTCCGAAAGGGGGGCCTCATCTTGGACCCGAAGAGTGCGTCCATGTGTCGCCCCCTCCGCTGTATCGCCCCCCCCCATTTGTCCCCCAAAAATTTGAGCGCCCCCCCCCCATTGAAGCGCCCCCCCCATTGATCACCCCCCCCCCCATGTACAGTCAACCCGCATAGCAAGGATGGGCAACCTTCCCAAGGGTACCCTGGCATCTTTGCCTCCTCGGCCCATCCTTGGCCGCTCTCGCTGGCCGCGCCCCGCCCGCCAAGTGTCGACTCGGCCATTGCATCCTCACCGTGCCTCCTTATGATACGGGTTGACTGTAAGCGCCCCCCACACCATTTCTCGCTCGGCTGGGAAAGTCAGCTTCAGGACAATGCGCAGATACACGTTTAAGTAAGATGTACCTTTCGGCACGTCTCAAACGCTCTCAGCGTCATCTCTGACGGCGAATACAAACCAGAGCATGTATCAACTTCGCTTGGCGGTGATGGTTTGCGGATTTTGCTGTTCAGCAAAATCTCTGGCATTGCCGATGCATCGCCGATGCGGCTCGATGCGGAGCCCGATTTCCTCCACGCGGACGTCGCCGATGCACCATCCACGTCGGCGATGCATCGCCGGTGCATCGCCGATGTATCGCCGATGCGTCGCCGACGCATCGGCGATGCGGTGCGCTCCTCCGACCCCGCCTGCTCCGACCCCATCTGGGAGGCCCCCCGCGTCAGCGGCGCCCAGCCGACGTCGCCGCCCCGAGGTCGCGACGCCGCCCGTGGGCGCCGGCGGCGCCCCCGCCGCCGGCCGGGCGGCGGCGGCGGGCGGGGACGCCTCGCCGGGGTCGCTGCGGGACCCTCGCGCCGGGGTCGGCCGCGCGCGCGCGCAGAGGGCGGCACCGTCGTCGCTGTCGTCGTCGTCGTCGTGGTCGTCGTCGTCGTCGCCGCCGTCGCCGTCGTCGCCGTCGCCGTCGTCGCCGTCGCCGTCGCTCGGACGTGTGCATCTTTTCTTCTCGGCGGGGGCCATGGGGGGGTAGCTTGGAGCCGCTTGCGCAAAAGGCGCGCGCGCGCGAAACCGAAACATGCACTGGGAATTGACGTCCGAGCGACAGGAGGGATCACAAAGTCATCGGCTAGACGTAAAAGAGTGACCTTTCGCTGGAGTGACTTCTGGTGCGGGCTCTAGGGGGTCCCCCTTTCTGGGGACGCCCGAGAAGAGTACGGAGAAAATGGGCACGATGCCTAACAGCAGAAGCTTTTCAAATCGACAGCGGGCGCTGTTGGGCAGACGATTCTTTATCTGCGGTGAAACGTCGGCGGCGACACCGACAGCGACTCCTGCTCAAAATGGGACCCCGATCGCTGAGCGCGAAGCGGCCACTCTTGCGTGCAGCCGAAATCACGGTGGGAGGGGTGGCATCGCGTGGAAGTGTGGATTTTTTCTCGCGTGGACCATCGGGCCTCGGGGCCGTCAGGACACGTCTC